CTGGTGCCGGGGGCTGACTGAGCCTCCCGGCCTTGCCCCCACCCAGAACCTACACGGTGTCAGTGACACTAACATGTCCACACGGCCTGGTGCCGAGGGCTGACTGAGCCTTGCCTCCCAGAACCCACGCTGGTGGGAGCAGCCTGAACAAGCCCCTAGAGCAGCAGGGCCCCGTGCTCTGGGGGAGCTGGCGGCTGGGGCAGGGGTGGGAGAGCCCGGCGCCTGCCCCGTCTGTGGAGAACGTGGACCACAGGAATGTATTCTCTAGCGGGAAGTGCAAAATGAAGTCAGAAGCAGAGAAGAAACCTAAAGAAACCCCGAGGGCCTGCTGGCGCAGCGACACTGTCCTCGGGCCCTCGGGCAAACCCGCCCCCTTCCTCAGCTCAGCCCGAGGGCTGGGGGGACCTCAGCTGGGGTGCAGGGCAGCACTCACTGTGACAGGGGCTCCGAGTGTAGCCCGGGGGCCGGGCACGTGGGGTGGGCGGCCAGGAAGGGGTTCACGTCCCCAATGCCGATGAGTCCAAACTCGGTGACTGACAAAGCCACCTGGGCAGGGGCCACCGTCTCCTCCGGGTCCGCGCCCAGGTCCACATGGCTGGGGATGAGGGGCAGCTCCTCGGGCAGGGCGAAGTCCACGGCCAGCCTCGGGCTGGCGTCTGTCTCCGCAGCAGCGACAGCTGGCAGGTACGAGGCTGCGTCGGCCGGGGCTGGGGGCAGACGGGGCAGGGGCACAGCGGGGGGCTCGTCCAGCTGTTGTTGGAAGGAACAGGGCCCCGGCTCCGAGGACGGGGGGCCGCCAGAGGCCACTCCAGGCTCACCAAGACCACTGGTTGTGCCATCCACGCTCAGGGGCTCTGTAAGAGAAGGCAGCAGAGAATGGGGCCGGCCCACGGGCACTGGGCCGCAGCCTTGCACGGCGGCTGTGGACCGGGCGGGCGCCCACCTAACCTTGCTGGGTCCAGCAAAGCCTGTGGACCTCAAAAGAGCCTCTGCACAAACACAAAACAAACCAGTTACACTGACGTCTGTGAGACCCCAGGCTGAGGTCCCCAGCTTTAAAAGGTCATAAAATCACCGAATGGGTCACAACCCACGTCTTTAAAACCAGAGCACAATACGATAGACTTGGGTATAACGATGCTTGGGGCAGTGAACTAGGGAGCAGGGAGATGTGGGCACCCTTGGGCAAACAACCGGATTCTGGAAATGGGGCGACCCTCCCGAGACTCAACCACCTCAACGCAGGGCCAGGAATCAAAGGGTCCCTGTCTGCACCCCACCCGCCCCGCAGGTCTCCACCCTCGGACATGGTGAGAACCCCACCCCCGAGGCCTCGGCAGGCTCCGTGGTGGCCTCAGGTGCAAGATGTCAGCGAGGGCTCCGACACCCTGTCCCTCCTGAGTGTCCCAGTGACGGGGCTAGGTCCCTAGCGAGGGGCAGGCAGGCCCTCCCAGGACACCAAGGCCTGGAAAGCACCCCCCGACCATGTGGGGTTCCCCGGGGGTCAGCCAGAGACACCCCTTAAGCAAGCCCAGGTAAGCACTGTCCGTGCCCTCCCCTTTCCTGGCCAGGTGCGCAGAGCCACATCCACAACACATGGCAGGCCCTCGACCACCCCTCCCGGGCGCCAGGGACAGGGGCTCCATCAGGCCTCCCAGCTCTAGACCAGCAGCCACCCCCAAGGCAGCAGACGCTCCCCACGCCTCACCCGTGTGCATCCCAGCCAGGGCGTCTGGCTCAGGGCGGGGGCGACCGGGGCCGTCAGGGTCACTGCCATCCAGGTCCTGGTCTGTGTCCCTGTGGGGAGAGGGCGCCATGAAGGGCAGGGGCAGCTGAGAGAAGGGACGCCCCCACCCGGGGGGGTGCCACCCAGGCGCCCACGTGCCCACCCCCGGCGGGGTGGCCTCCCACGGTTACTGCTGGGGAGCAGCTGCACGCACGTGGTTCCAGACGGGACGTACTTCCTCCGGCCGAGCCGCGTCTGCTGGGCAAAGTAGTCATAGCGCTCGGACTTCTTCCACAGGTAGTAGTACTCCACGCACTCGCCCACCGACCGCGTGCGCACCTGCGGGGAGGGGCCCGGTGTCACCTGCGTCCCCAGCCGCCAGCCCCTGCACCCCCGACCCAGGACGTCTCCTAGGACAGCACCCACTGTGCTCAGGTAAGGCAAGACCCCCCATGACCCTCCTCAGGCCCACGGGCTGTGCCCACCACGAGCCAATGGGGACTTGCAGCGTGTGGCACTGACTTCTGTCCCGAGCCCCTGCAGGGCCCCCCAGCTCCTGGTTTGAGACCCCTCTTTGCTCTCTGCAGCATCCGCCACACACGCGAGTCCTCCAGGGTCCACAGACTCCCGAACAGGGCCCCCGACTGGGCGGGGGAGGCACAGCCCGCAGCGCCTGCTCTCCCACCAAACACGTCCCTCCAGCGCCGAGTGAGTGCTTCCCAAGTGCGCGCAAGACACCACAGAAGGACACACAGGTTCTGGGAACCCGACTCAAAATTCACAACGCAGCACGTAAAGACCAAAACGCACACGTCAGGCGGTCGGGGAGACGAGAAGAGACACGGGGCAAGCGTGTTCCACGCAGCACCTGGCACAGAGCTGGACGCACACCTGCCCACACCTCCTGCCTCTCCGCCCAGGAGGCTTGTCCCACAGCGAGCCTGAGGCTGAGGCCCCTGCTGGGGAGGTGGAAAAGACCCCTCACCTGTACATGCCCTGGTTATCCAACCCACCGCCACCAGAACCAGGACACCCAGTGCTCCCCCTGCAAGCACAGCGTGGGGTCCTGCCTGGGAGCGAGACCAAAAGAACCTCTCCAGAGGGCAACCCTTACATGCCCGTCATGAGGGAGCTGCCCAGGAAAAGGCCAGGCTGAAATAAACACCAGCTCCCAGCCCCGTTCCAGACACAGCAGCGCATCGTGTGCTGGCTACACACAGCCCCCGCCCGGAGCTACCGACACAGCCAGCAACCCTGCTGCCCTGCAGCCACACCCGTCCTAGCTGCCTCCAATCCAAGCACCACGTGGTGCTGAAGTCCACGAGGACAGTCCACGGCTGCCGCAGTCACAGAGGAACGCCCTGTGCGGCACAACCAGCCCGGGGAGGCGCCTCCTCCCTTCAGAAGGCATCAGGCCCCGGGACACAAGGCGGAAGCGGCCACAGCCGCCGGTCCTGAGGGGGCTGAGTGCCCAAGAGGGGCGTGCACAGAGGCGGAGAAGCCACGGGTCAGCCACGGGAAGGTTTTCAGCCAGAGATGTCTGACTCTGGCAAGAGGCTGTGTAATAGCCTGCCCTGGGCCAGCATCACTGACCCCATCTTAGCTGTAAACTCCGAGCTTCCCCCTCCCGACCACAACCCCTCTGGGTGCGTAGCTGGGCCACGCTGACCCTGTGCTCATCCCACCATATGACAATGTAACTGCGTCCTGCCTGGCAAGCACACCTGCGCGGTGTGTAACTCTCTTCCAAGCCCCGCTGGTGACTGTCTGGAAACACCCTTAGCAGCCAACAATCCTGGGCACCTCCTCCGCTGGTTACCAACTAACTTGCCTGATCTGCTTCTGTAAAACCCTCTTCAGCTAGGCTCCCCCACCCCTACCGAAGTCAAGGTATACAGGGAAGTCAAGCCCCTTCCTCGGGGCCAGGAGATTCTGAGCGTGAGCTGACTCTTGGTCGCCAGCTGATTAATAAAGGACTCTGAATTTGGAACTTGGAGGGTGGCGCGTTTCCTTCTAAGTCACTCGGTTATCACAGCTGGACCTCATCACTCCAGAAGCCACAGGACAGAGGGCATTCCTGCAGGACGTGCAGAGACCCACAGAGGATGAGGCCAAAGCCTAGGCAGGGACAGTGGCCTTGGCACCCGGCAGCACCCGCCTGTTGTGAGCGTTTTCCCTGGGTGGCAGAAGGACCTAGGTCCCAGGAGGAGGGAACCCCGAGGCCCCTGGTCCCCTGGTGTCAGGCATCAGGGTCCTGCTGTGGGGTCAGTGCTGGGCACAGAGCCAGCAGGCTCCTGTCTGAGGACATGGACGTGGAAATGAGGTGCCCATGGGTGGAACGTGAGATGGACTACTGGAATTCCGCTTCTGACACATTCCTTCCCAAAACCAGAGCCTTGTTCTTTTGGGGACTGGAAGGGGACCCAGAGCAGTCAGTAGAGGAAACTAGAGAAGACAGCAATGGGCATGCAGTGAGGAGGTGGACACGGGGCTCAGGCCTGCAGTCAGCCGTGTGCTGTGTGCCTGCTGACCCTCAGCCCCTCCCCTGACTGCAGAGCCCCTCCCCAGATAGAGAAGCCCCTCCCCAGACTGAGGAGTCCCTCCCCAGACTGAGGAGACCCTCCCCAGACAGAGGAGACCCTCCCCTGACAGAGGAGACCCTCCCCTGACAGAGGAGACCCTCCCCTGACCGAGAAGCCCCTCCCCTGACCCAGGAGAACCCCCTACCAGATCAAGAAGCTCCTTCCCCGATGGAGAAGCCCCTTCCAGACAGAGAATTCCCCCCCAGATGAAGAACCCCCCACCAGATCAAGCCCTTTCCCAGATGGAGAAGCACCCCCTGTGGAGAAGCCCCTTCCAAGATGCCGAAGCCCCTCCCCAGATCGAGGAGCCCCTCCCCTGACCCAGGAGAACCCCCTACCAGATCAAGAAGCTCCTTCCCCGATGGAGAAGCCCCTTCCAAGATGCCGAAGCCCCTCCCCAGATGGAGAACCGCCCCCAGACGGAGGAGGCCCCCCACCAGACGGAGCCTGGCAGGAAGAGGGCAGCGGCGCCCGCACCTTGTTGGCCTGGATCAGGTGAAAGTTCTTTCCGTGCACACGGAAGCCGTGCTCAAAGTTCCTGCACTCCTCCTCACTCCACGCACAGAGCCCATCTGCAAAAACGGCCGGGAGACGGGTCAGCGGCGCCCAGGGCAGGGCGGCGGAGGAGCACGCCCGGGCGCCGCTCACCTCGGATCACCTTCACGTTGAACCGCAGCCTCCGCAGGGCCTCCTCCACGTTGAAGTTGCACTTTACCAACTCGTACAGCGCCTGGGGAGAAAGCGTGTACATTCTTCCCACGGGCTCACCCAGGAGCCGACAGCAAGAACCGTCTATACCCCTCAGGGAGGGGTATCCAGGGCGGACCACACCACTCATCCCCAGTGATGTC